CCAATGCCCCTGGGTATCTCTGGGACCCTTGAGCCACAAGCGCAGAGCCCAGGCCTGAGCTGGAAGCTGGGAGGGCAGTGGTTAAGAGCATGGTTTTTGCAGCTAGCCAGACTCAGGCCAGCCTTGGCCCTACCACTGACTAGCTGCGTGCTTCTGGGTAAGCTGTGGACTGTCTAGGTACCTCAATTTCCTCATCTGTCAAGTAGCATAACTTGGCTAACAGGCTCTTTGAAAATGTTCATTCCCCAAGTATCCTGCCAGACGCCGAGCTGGGTGTTGGAGGACCATCCCTCAACAAGCCAGGCGGGGCCTCTGCCCTCACAGAGCCTGTGGCCCGGCGGGGCGGACGAGGTGGCCGCGACTGCCGGTCGGGTGGGGAGGACAGGCGCGTCCTTGGGAGGGCCCGGCAGTGCGCGTGCGCACTATCTGCGACACTACTCGGACAAGCTTTTTGAGGGACCTCATTTCACAGAATGTGCTTCGTGTCGCGGAGGCAGGGACCGACAGGGAGGACGTCCCTAAAGCCGCCAATGTTAGCCCAGCGCCAGGCCCGGCCTGCCCTCCGCTGTCGGGGTCCCCGGGCTGCGCACGCGCCGCACCCTCGCCCCGCCCTCCGCCTCTCGGCCGTGGGTTGGTGGGCTGGGGTCACGTGGGCGCGCCTCGCCTCGTCCTCGCGGCGGAGGGCCGGCCCGCGGGCTGGTTTCCGGTTCGGTGGGTCCGAGATGACGGAACCGGGCGTCTCTCCGGAGGACCCCTGGGTCAAGGCAAGCCCCGTGGGCGCGCACGCCGGCGAGGGGAGGGCGGGTGGCGCTCGTGCACGTAGGGGGGCCGGAGGACGAGGGAATTCCCTCCAGTCCCTAAAGTCCCCCCTGCTCTCCCGGCCTCGGGGCTGCAGAGAAGACAGCTCTCACCCCGCATGTGCCAAGGTGGGGAGACAACCGAGGCGTGTGTGCGCGAGTGAGGGGCCGGGGGCCGGGGAGGGGAGGAGGGCGGGCGGACGGGATCACGCTGGGGGGCGGTGCTCCACGGCCTATCCAGTCTGGGCTCTCCGGGGGATCCTTTAACCGCCTGCGCACCCCAGGGGTGTGTGTGTTTGTGTGTGTGTGTGTGTGTATGTATATATGTGTAAACGCGCGCGCAGAGTGGACGGAGGCGCGTTCCTCCAGGGGCGGGGGTCTGACGGGCTTCTCCCTTGCTCGGTGCCACAGGTGGAGTATGCCTACAGCGACAACAGCCTGGACCCCGGTGAGTGCCTCCTCCACCGTCTTCAGCTCTGGAGAGACACTCCCACTCCAGGCCTATAGATTCGCGTGGCCTTGCCAGCCACACCTGATCACAGTCCTCTGTCCCTGAGCCGAGTTCCTGGCCTGAGACAGCCAGGGAGGAGCTGGAGGACAGGGGCAGGAAGCATCCGAAGGTGACGCTTAGTTCCCTCTGCTCTGGATCAGGGAAGTGATGGAACTAGTGATAGCTGGTCACTCTCTCCCCATTATCACACCCAGATATCACTTTGTGAGCCAGGGGATATCACTGCAGGTCTGTGGAGCAGTGTAGACACTAGGGACAGGAGCATTGTGGCATAGCACTATAGCAAGTGGGTGGCCCAGTATGACTGGCTTTTGGGTTGAAGGGGGTGAGGTCAGCATTTAAGAATCAGGAAGCCATTGTGCCCACAGGTGTCTGAGGGCCTAGCAATGTCCCCCCACCCTACCCCTTAGTGACTGGGGCCTCTCTTTTCCAGGGCTTTTTGTAGAAAGCACCCGCAAGGGGAGTGTAGTGTCCAGAGCTAATAGCATCGGTTCCACCAGTGCTTCTTCCGTCCCCAACACAGGTAGGCAGCAACATTCCCCACCCAGGAAGACTCAGATATGCCATCATTTTAGTATCTTTCCTAGATAGGAAGCTCCAGCCATCCACAGAGGGGTGCTGGAGCCGTAGTGGTAGACACAGGGTCTCACCATCTTTCACCTCATCTAGGATATTAGGTCTTATGCCCATCTGCCATCTCTGGGCACCAGGTTCTTCTTCCTAGCTGGGGGAAGGTGGGCTAGCTGGGCCCCACTGGGCCCCAGGATGACCTCTTCCTGCCCCCAACTCTGAGCATAGATGATGAGGACAGCGATTACCACCAGGAGTCCTACAAGGAATCCTACAAGGACCGGCGGCGGCGAGCGCACACTCAGGCTGAGCAGAAGAGGAGGGACGCCATCAAGGTGATTGGGGAGGCCTGTGCCTCAGCCAGCACAGGAGGGCCCTGCAGTTTTCAGGTTCACTCTGCCCTGACCCCATGAGACAGTCCCAAGCAGCCTTGGGGACAGCTAGTCTAGTCTCTGGACATGAACACCTCCCTCATTCCAGCCTCCTACCCCTTTGAGTTTGTGAGCATACAACTTGGTTTGTGGAAGAAAAGGTTTGTGCTAGCCTGCCTTAACCCCTCAGAGATAAGGAACTCATTTCCTCTGCTGTCTCCACAGAGAGGCTATGACGACCTTCAGACCATCGTCCCCACCTGCCAGCAGCAGGACTTCTCCATTGGCTCCCAAAAGCTTAGCAAAGCCATCGTTCTACAGAAGAGTATGGCCGGGGAGAGCACTGGAGGGGTTGGAGCCAGGGGTCTGTGAAGAGGCCAGAGCCTCATCCCCACTTTTGGCGTGGCCCCGGTGGGGTGGTTGTCCTGGGAGAGTTGGGGTATGGAGGAAGGGGAAACAAAATCAGCTTTGTCCTTCTGTCGAGACTTCCTCTGTGCCCACCCCCTCTTCCCGCCTCCATCCCAGCCATTGACTACATCCAGTTTTTGCACAAGGAGAAGAAAAAGCAGGAAGAGGAGGTGTCCATACTACGCAAGGAAGTCACGGCCCTAAAGATTATGAAAGTGTAAGGGGGATGCTGAACTGGGGGAACTAGCGCTTCTGAGGGGACTCTGAAACTGACTTCAGCTCGTAACCACCCCTTGTTCAAAGCCCACGTCAGATAATACAGTATAGATAATACTCTCACTCCCTCACGTGGCCACTGAGGCAGGACTCTGCACTCCAGCCGTCCCTAACACATAGCGGATACGTAGCATTTCTCACCTAGCAGCAGTATCTAGCTGATGTTGACTACGTCCCCAAAGCTGTCTGGGAATCCCTTTCCTGGGGGCGGGGGGTACGTAGGGTCACCCTATTCTTCCTGGGCTGCTAGAGCTGCTGCAGCACCTTAGCCCTGGCCTGCTCACTTTCAGGAACTATGAGCAGATTGTAAAGGCACACCAGGACAACCCCCATGAGGGGGAGGACCAGGTCTCTGACCAGGTCAAGTTCAACGTGTTTCAAGGCATCATGGACTCCCTGTTCCAGTCCTTCAATGCCTCCATCTCCGTGGCCAGTTTCCAGGAGCTGTCGGCCTGTGTCTTCAGCTGGATTGAGGAGCACTGTAAGCCTCAGGTATGGGGCAGCAGTGGTCACAGGGTCTGGGGTCTTCTTACCCTCAGGCAAAGTGGCCCAAGCCATTATTTGTTCCGAGAGGCAGGGTAGCAACTTTTAGATTTCTTGAGGTTGTTTCTATAACTTTCAATACTCATTTCCCCCTTTGCTTTCTAGCCCAGATTTTCCTCTTAGGGTTCTTGGCCGGAGGGACTGGAGCAGTCACTCCTGTGAGGCCTGGCTCTTGGCCTTGGCTTAGCCCACACGTGGCCGCCTCAGGCACTCCTCAGCTGCCCAGTATGTAAGCCCCCGTCACTTGGAGCAGAAGGACTTGGGGTTTTTGGAAAGATTCCTGGCCTCTTCCCCCCAAGTCCCGGAAGCAGTTTTCCCCAGGGCTTTTTTTTATTATCATTCATAAGGGTGTGGCGTGTTAATGGTATTGCGCTAATAATAAGTCTTCTGCTTTTTTAGGCCTGGTTGCTTTTTCTGAGGCTTGAACTTTATCTGAGATTCTTACTTTCTTTTTTGTTTCTTTCCCAACATTTTTATTGTGAGACACTTTAAATATACTCAACAATGAGAAAATTTCACAATAAACACTCATATACCCACCACCTAAATTCTACCATTAACATTTTCTGTATTTGCTTTATCACATAGCTGTCCCTCCCTCCATCCTGTTTTGGGGGTATTTCAAGGAAAACCGTAAACATCAGTGCTTCCCAGAGGCTTTTTTCACTGTACTCTAAGAGCACACCTGGTCTAGGCAGGTGTCAGAGACTGCTCTGTGCCCTGGCCTGAGCATCGTCTCTCTCTTCTCTGCCAGACCCTACGGGAGATCGTGATTGGTGTCCTGCACCAATTGAAGAACCAGCTTTACTGACTGGCTCTTGGAACCTTCGGAACATCCAACAAGAGGCTCTTGAGTCTCCTAATTGGCCATGGAGCTGCTGGGCTTATAAGACTGGACTGCAACACCGCACACTAGTCAGCTGGTTTCTCCTTAGTGTTTGGTTCCCTAGCTGCTCCCCCCGTCCTGTCAGTGGGGCTGGGGTGTTTATCTTGTGAAAGCTTCTGATTAATTTATTATATTGACCATAGAACTCAAACCTACCCGGTCTTCCCCTGACCCCATAAAAGTTCTTGGGATGGACGGGGGTCTGCTCTGGGTACCCCAAAGAGCTCCTGGCCTCTTCCCTTTTTCTAAGCCTCAGATTTCTGTTCATGAGCTACACATATTTGGAAACTACTGTTTGCCTCTGTTTTGGTCTCTTGGGCAACATTTGGCCCAGGTTTGGCCATTTTGGCAATAGTTGGGTGGAAGGGAAAAAGTGAGAGAAATACTCGCACAGCCACGAAGGGCAAAAGGCCGCCTCGTGCCTGGGCTAAGGCTGCCTGCTCAGGCCAAGGTGAGGCCAGGGTTTTCTGGCCAGCTCAGGGCAGGGCTGCCCGGGTCCTGTGCTTGCCTCCTACTCTACCACCTCTCCTTCCTCTCCTGCCCTGGCTGGTAGAGGGAAGCAACCTCCCCGCCTTCTCCTGCCCTCTGTCCCGAGAGGCAGTAAGCACTGCACAGCAAAGTCATGTGTGACACAGCACTACATATTAAAGATTTTTTATTTTTTAAACACCAACATGCAGTTTTGCTAAATTGACAATTTTGGAAAATTAACCGGGCCTCAAAACTACTCCCAGCCTTTCTGTCAGGTGTATCCGGGTCCACACCTCTGTGCTGCCTGCATTTCTCCCAGGACTTGGGGGTGGGGTGAAGGGGTAGAGAAGATATTCTAAAGGCCTCCTGGGGTCTCAAGCCCAGGAGAGTCCTGGGTGAGGCCTGGGGCTCCTTGAATGCTGTGTTTAGTAGCCTCTCTCTACCCTTGTCCCCCAAGCTCCCTTCTGCCTTCCTCAGGTTTGATATCTGGGAGGTTTGATTATCCAGAGGAAATTAAATATTTTTATATCGAATTATATTACAATAAATAGTGCTAAATGCTTTCCTTGAGCGTTGTTCCAAGTCTAAGTGGTAAGCTCAAGCAACTGAAATGTGGACAATGCAACGAACATGACAATCTACTCTGGCCCACCAGCGCTCACTCCCTCCACCCAACACTCTGGTTTATGCCCCTCTCCCAACGGCTCTGGTCAGAGGTGGAAAGCAGCAGGAGCAACAAAAAAACCCGACCTAAACAAGGCCGCCGGTCCAGGAATCTCTGTTCCCATCGCCCAGGCCTGCTAGAGGGCCTCTCAGGGGTCTGGGAGCTTGACGTTGTAATCTTCATCTGTCTCTATGCCGACTTCCTCCTGGGGGGCCGGGAGACAAGTGAATGAGACGTACCTGGACGAAGACCCAAGGGGAGCAAGGATGGGGGGAGAGAACTACTTACAAAGAACTGCTTCTTGCTCTTGGGGTAGCCTTCAAGGATTGCATCAGACAGCTCTGTGGCCTGACAAAAACCAAAACCACCCCTTTTGAGATGGGCAGTACTCAGCACTGCCTGATGGATCCATGATACTGGGCAGCAGTTTCTCAGGTGGCTGCCATTTTCCAGGCCCTGCCTTGGAGCTCCCATACCCTTACCATCCTCTTCCGCTTCCTCCACTCCTTACAGTATTTCTGCCTCTCTCTGTACACCTAGAAAGGGGAAAGAGGTTCCTCTAACCCCTCAGCCCCACAGCAGCCACTGGGGTCAACCCTCAGTCTCACTCTGGCCTTTGCTATCCCTCCCTCCCAGCTCACCTGCTCTTTCTCTTCTGGAGTCACATGGTTAGTGGCTGCTTTGATGTTCTTCAGTCTCTCTGTGTAGCCAGCACATTCCTTCTTTAACTCCTGGATCTCTTTCTGCATCTCCGGTGTGGTCATGGCACTAGTTAACTCCTTCAGCTCTGAAACCACATCTCCCTTAGCTCACTTGCCACCGCCTGAAGAAGGGGTTCCATCTTTCCCAGTGGGTGTCCCCTGAGGTAGGAGACCAGGCCTCCACCTTGCTCTGGGGGGTCTACACACAGGGTCCAGAATAAGTCCGATGTTCTGGAAGTGCTCAGGAGAGATTGAGGCTTACAGAATTATCAGTTTATCCTAGTTTTCTTTCCTCCTCCATCTACAGGTAGTGGTAGGATGCAAGGTTGAGCAGACTGTTAGCTATAGCCAGTTAAAGAAGCAGGAATAGGAGTGTGGGAACAGGATACTGATAATCATGGTAGGGAAAGCAAATGTACATATGTCTGCTTGTATGTGTGACGTGTATATATGTCTTGTGCATTTGTATTCAAAAGCCATCACACATTTCTTCTAATGTAAAGCCTATGGCAGCCCCGCAAAGGGATCTGTACTGCAACAAGGTAACACTGCAGTCAACAAACCATTCACTTAGTAATTCCTGACCACTAGGCTGACCCTGATGCCAGGGGCACCTTCTGGGGGGCTGCCCAGTCCTACCAGCCTCCATGTGGCGACAGCTCTGCTGCAAGCTCTGCACGTTAGCAGTGAGGGCCACGATTTTGGCATCCAGGACTTGGAGGTCAGCATCACTCACCGTGTCAAACTGGTCCTGCCAGAGACAAAAGGAAAAACAAGTGGGCTGATGTGAGGCCCAGGATGGGAACACACATCTGGAAAGCAACATTCATATCCACTAGAGAACCGAGGACTCCCCAACCCTCCAGAGGGCTTGGGAAAATAGCAGAGGGTACTTTTGAGAAATCATTCAGTTTGGTACTGGTCCCAACAAAAAAGTATAAAAGAAAAGTGGAAACCTGATGCCTGTCCTCAGGGGGCTTCTAGGTTGGCAGGATACTGAATGGGACAGAAATATCTTTCAGTTTAGTGGTAAAACCAGTCACCGGACTGAAAGAATAAAGGAACATTCTTTTCCAGGTGGTGATACCTAAATTATGGGTTTCTACAATAGGAAGAATCTGGACCGGTGAAGATGCATGGTGGGAGGTATTTTGATAAAGGACTCCAATAGAAGTCTGAGGAGCCCCTCCTGGGAGAGACTGGCTGCTAGAAAAGGACTCTGTCGGGGCTCAGTGGGGGTCTTGTCAGTTGGGGATGGGAAGCAGGGTAGAAAGCATGTGAATGTCGGCCTGGGCAGTTTGGACTCTACGTTAAGGCAAGGTAGACGTTTAGAGCAGGGACAGCAAACTATAGCCTGCAAGTCAAATCCTGCCAGATGCACGTTTTTTGAAAACAAAAATTTAGTAAAACCGGGCCCCATCCATTCGTTTCCATACTGTCCGCTCCACCATGGGGGATGTGAGTAATTGTGACAGCTGTGTAGCTGTGACAAGAGCCCATCTGCCCTCAAATCATAAAAATATTAATCATCTGGCCCTTTACAGAAAAAATCTGCCAACTTCTCCTTTAGGGGGGTCTTCAACAGAGCAGTAACATAATGACTATTTTAGGAAAGTTAGCCCTGACAGTGGTTTTGTTCAGTTAAGCGAGTATATAAAATGCTAGTCCAGGTGAGATACTGAGAGGGTGTTGAGTAAAGGAACATGAATGAGAAATCGGGTCTGCCCTAGAAGAGCTTCCGTTATGTGAAGGAGACAAGAAAAAGACAACTGTAATACAGCATGCCTCAAAAGAGGCAAGCGCCTGAATTCAGAAGAGGCAATCAGAGCATTCAGGGAAGGTTTCTGGAGACGGTGATGCCTGAGTGAAACCCTGAAGGATGGTAGCTGGGCAAAGGCGCAGAGGAAGAAGGGACTAAAAAACTCCAGGCAGAGGGAGGGCAATGAGCACGGGACAGAGCAGTAAAACATCTGAACAGTCCGGTATCGATGGACAGACAACTAGACAGGGGAGGCTGGAGGCAGGCGCGGCGTCTCCCAGGCCCTTTTACCTCTTCCAGGGAGCACGGGCGTTTTAAGTAGGTAAATGGTACGACTAGATTTCATGTCCATAGATCATTCTGGCTGCAATTTAAGGTATGTTTGGGGAAGCCAGGAGACCTGTTAGGAGGATATGGATGAAGAGTGCCTGAACTCGAGCAGTGATGGCATATGGAAAGGAGAGGATGGATTCAAGGGGAAAATCAGCTGGACTTGATGGCTGACTAGATAGGTGAGGTAACGCAAGTCAAGAATGACTGCAAGTCTCTGGCGTGGGTGAAGAGTGATTCCTTAAGGGAGAAGAATTCGAGAGGAGCCGGCTTAGGGAGAGATAAGGCACTCTACGTTGGCAATACTGATGCTGAAGTGTCTGAAAGGCATCCAAGTGGAGACGTGGGCTGGAGATACTAAACTGACATTGAGTGTGTCTAGGGAAGGGGATGGAGACAGAAGGAAAGTCGTTTGGCAGGCGGTGGTGCTAATCCAGATGATTGGGAATCAGGGCTTCTGGAGGTCTCATGCGGTGTGGATGACAGCAAGGGGGATACACACTTTGGTTTGAAGGATGTCTGAGGCCCTGTCATGGCATAAGACAGGAGACTTCCACAGGGTGCCTGAAGTCTCCCAAAGAGCTGACAGTAGGGGTCGACTGACCTCACGTCGGGCTCCCACACGGGTGATAATCCGCGCAGATCCCCCTCACCTGGTCCGCAAAATAGATCTTCTGCTTGCCGTACGTCTTCTCTTTGATCTTGCCCTGCTGGGCCAGCTGCTCCAGCGCCTTCACCACCGCCTTGGGGGGGGGGAGGGGGGGCGGACACAACCGGAGGCGTGACCCCGGGCTGGGGCGGGGGGATTTCAGCGACGGGGGCGCGCCCGACAGGCCTTAGGTAACCCAAGGCTAGAATGGCAGCCTCGAGAGGGCAGGACCCGAAGCGGGTTGGAGGGGTCCCAAGGAGAGGAATCCCAGGAGAGGGTCCTCACCGCCTTGCCCAGTCCGTGTTCCCGCTGCAGGTTCCCGAACACGTCCTGGGCGCTGTAGGGCCGGTTCTGCTCCTGCAGGTACCTCAGGAGAATGCCGGGGGCTACCGGGGGAGGAGGCAGGGCAGGCGTCACTCCGCCGAACCCTCACCCGCTCCCCGACCCCGGGTCTCCCCCGCGCGTACGGCCCCGTCACCTCCCGCCGCAGCTTCTGCCCGGCCTTTGCTCATTGTCTTTCCCGCCGCCAAACTCCGAAAGCCGGAGGTTGCGGTTGCTCGCGGCAACGGCTCCTTCCGGCGCCGGGAAGGGCGGGCTTCAGGCAGTGATTGGCGGAAAGGGAAGTCTTCGCGAGGAACGAAGCGACCCTCCCCGGCCGCCGTAGTTCATCTCGGCTCGGAGCTCGAGCGCCAGTCCGATTCCCTGCAGTCCTGCTGTGTGCGGAGGCGGCGGGGCGCTCGCTTCCAACCTCTCCCTTCCTGCCCGTGGAAACGAAGGCTGTCGTAAATCACGCCTTGAAGTTTCGAGACCCAGTTCCAGGGGCAGCTGAACACTCGTGACAGTGAGCTGGGTCGTGTTCGAACGGGAAGAAACCGCAGAATTAACTTCCGCTGGGCAAGCGATTAGCTCAAGATCCCAGAGCTAGTTACCCACGGGGACGTGTCCTATCCCACGGTCCAGCGCGCTTTCCGTCGGTTAGTCTCATCATTTGTAAAATAGGAACAAGAAATGCAGAAGGGTGGTTGTGAGGCGTTAATAGCCTGCGCAGGCGCCCTGGAAAGAGCATAACGCCACCCCCCTTTGCCCGTTACCGGGCTTCGCACACAGGGGGCGCTCCACGCACGCTATGGTTTGAACACCAAGGAAGGGGAAGGTTGGGAGGGGGCTACTCTTAAGCCACAAAGCTTGTAGAAAAGTTTCCTGTTGGCCGAGTCACTCTTATGGCAACACCTGGCAGGTGCTTTCCACTTCTGCCCACAGTGGCCAATGGGACAAAGCCTGAAATAAGTATTTCTAGTTTCTGAGGTCAGCTGAAGGCCAAAGAGCAGCTGTCCCTACAGCTCAAACCATCCGGGAGGGGCATGGTGCTTTTTAAAGCCCTTTGTTACCGAAAACCTCTTTAGCCTTTGAAACATGTACTTGTCTTCACACGTTTAGGGGACACTATTAAGAACTAGAAATGATGGGGGGCCGGCCCAGTGATTAAGTTCCTGCGCTCCACTATGGCGACCCTGCAGTTTGCTGGTTCAGATCCTGGTTGGGGACCAACACACTGCTCATCAAGCCATGCTGTGGCTGCATCCCACATAGCAGACCTGGAAGAACTTACAACTAGGATATACAACTATGTGCTGGGGCTTTGGGGAGAAAAAAGAAGAAAGGAGGAAGATTGGCAACAGATGTTAGCTCAAGGCCAATCTTCCTCACACACACACACAAAAAGAATTAGAAATGATGGAACTGCAAACTAGATGCTAGCCAAAAGTGCCACTTATGCTTATGCCTGGGCTCTCCTGGGGAAGGGAAGTGGCCTCACACCCTAAGGAAAAATAGGGATGGGCAAGTGGTCCCTCACACCTGGACTTCCTCTTCTGAGACTGTCACCTCCTCAAATTAATTTACATCTCAGATTAACAAGGAAGACCTATCAAGGGTAGGACACCATTCAACATCAGTCTCTTAAAGATTGTTCTCATACAAGATTTATTCCCCAGTACCCCTCCCACTCGTATCCCCACCCCAGTTCACAGTGGAGGACTAAGGAGATGCAGAGCAGGATCCCCCAGGTACAAGAAACACCTTCCAAAGATTTTGCTCTCCTTCCTTCCCCCCCTCTTGCCAACTCCCAAGGCCTGAAGCTACACACACTCTTGCAAACACACAAAATCCCACTCACTTCCCACACCCTCCCTTTTTTTCCCACATCAGAGCTCACCTGTAAGACATCTGGGCTCTGAGGTGAGAGGTGTCCAAAGTCTGTTTGAGAATCCTAAAGTGGGGGATGCCATTACCCCTAACCTTCACACAAAGGTAAGTGACTATGAAACAGGCACCTAGCTCCTCTCCCTTCTCACTGGTAACTGTTTTCACTCCCTGACCTCTACCTTGTCCATCAGCCAAGAGCAAACATGTTAGCACATCCCACCTGCAGCACACGGAAACAGGCTCTGTCCAACATCCCTCACCCAGGCATGGGGATGTTGGGGGAGTGGTCCCTGAGGATCAGCAAAGGGTTAATGCAGAGGGAAAGAGGATAGAAGAGTGTGGCTTGAGCTCTGATTGGGGAGGTAGAGAGGGGCTGTAGGCTGGCATAGGTTTAGCGCTAATTACTATTTTCAGTTTTTGTCTCACGTGATTTTACTAGGGGCAGTAGAACAGATACCCCTTAGAGGGGTCTCTGCAGATTACAGACACTTTCTCGCTAACTGGGCCCTGCCAAGTTGGGAAGCAGTTGAAAATAAAAGTGTTAAAGGAGCTGAACAGGAAGTGAGAATAGCTGGTGCAAGAAGAGCTGGTGGCTCCTGGGATGAATGCCACTGAGCCATTTGTAAAGTGCTACTTTGACATCCCCCATGGAATTATTGCTTCTCCAAGGGAGGAGCAGGGGAAGGAACAGGAATATGGAAACGGGTATGGTACGGTATTGCTTTGCTCATTGCTCAGGCTGATGGTCAAATGGAGCCAGGGGTTAGCAGCACCAAAGATTACCAGGCAGCTCCAGAAGATTCAGTGAGACCATGAGATATAGAGACACTCACCCTCCCAGCCAGCTGTCCCCATGGCCCAAGGTAATGTAGATGAGGCCCACCCCCACATCGTGTTCACATTTCTTAAATTTCACAAGCAATATTTTGGAGCACTGGGGGTTAGGCCTGAAGAAATGAGGATGGGCTGGGGCAGAGGGAGCAAGCCTGCTCTGCAGAACCAAAGGACAAGCTTGCTTAGAAAAAGACAAATCAAATCATGGCTTAGCAAAAGAGGAGGAGGAGAGTGTAACTCTTCCAGCTGCTGCCTGACTTGGAGCTCTAGGGAGGTGAGGAAAGGAGGCAGAACAGAAAGGGCTCTTCTATCACTGAGGGCCCTCAAGCACCCATACCTAGAAGCAAACAGCAGCACCCCCTCAAAGGGGAACCAATAGCCCTGACTACTTTGTTCCCCAAAAGTACCATCCTGATGGAGAAAAGCCTCCCTTGGGGGAGCACACTCTCACTTCAGTGACTGAGCTCAGAAATGGGTAGCCAGCTCGTAGCAGGGGAGTGAGTATCCTCTCTCAGTAGGCCTCTGAGCATCAGCCAGGCCACCCAGCATACAAATATAACTCAGGGGATGGGACCTGGGTTCCTCCTTTACCCCTTCACCTTAAGTGGGATGGGCGGAAAAAAAAATGCTAAACCACAGTGTCCCCCAAAAGGAGTCTTTGCCTCAGTGGCTCCTGGAACTGGCAGGGTCCAGCTGATTCAGCTCTGACTGGTCCAGGAGTTCAAAATCATCCCCCTCAGCATCAGTGTCCAGGTCTGAACTGGGGGCCTGGAGTAAGCCTCTTGTTGCTCTCCGGGGAGGTGGGCCAGAAGGGCCTGGCTGGGAGGCCCCTGCCAGGGCCAGCTGGATCATGCCCTGGGAGACCAGGTTGGCAAGGTTGCTGGTGAGGTTGGATCCTGCAGGCAGGGCACCAAGCAGGAGCTCTGGCAGTGCAGCCTCCTCCCGGTTGGCAAGCGGTACCTGGGGCTCCTCAGCCCCTGGTGGGGAACGGTACATCAAGCTGGGCATCCCAATGCTGGTATCGTCCTCATCATCCAGGCCAGCAGGATCCACGTTAATGGAAGGGAAGTCTGGAAGGTCTCTGGCAAAGGATTCCTCTGGATCACTGTGACCATCTAGGTCTGGGAGAATAGAGGGGTGTCTGAGACATGGCAACTGCCTGGCCCTCCTGTGCCCCAGCCCCATAAAGTCAGCCCCATGTAACCAGTTTTTCACCCTGGATTTATGAGGGTGAAGCAAAACCCGTGGGCCTGCCAGCTTTCCCCCTCCACTTAGAGATTGCTGCGATCTCTACTGGCCAGAGAACTCCCTGTCTTTTCCTCCACCATGCCCCCAGTGAGCCTAGAACTGAGGTTACTAAGGCACAGGTAAAATCCTTTCCTTGAGGATTTCAAGGCGAGCAGAGTGCCATCCTGGCTGTAGCCATTTCCCTAAGGCTGCTCTGCCACCTGATCCACGGCTCAAAAAACAGGAGAGGAGGGGAGCTGGCGTGGTGGTGCAGCGGTTAAGTTTGCACATTCTGCTTCTCGGCAGTCCGGGGGGTTCGCCAGTTCGGATCCCAGGTGCGGACATGGCACTGCTCGGCACGCCATGCTGTGGTAGGCGTCCCACATATAAAGTAGAGGAAGATGGGTACGGATGTTAACTCAGGGCCAGCCTTCCTCAGCAAAAAGAGGAGGACTGGCAGTAGTTAGCTCAGGGCTAATCTTCCTCAAAAAAAAGAGAAAAAACAGGAGAGGGGCAGAATCCCCTCTGCCTGGGGAAGCTGAGAGGCAACAGTCAGAGCCATAACTCAAGTCCAAGGTTCCCCTCACCTTCAGAGCCTTCTGTTAGAGGTGTTTGGCCCCGTGAAAGATTGAATGTGCCATTGTCTGTACAGGAGACCTCAGCATCCGAGTGCTCAGAGTCTGTGATGGCCAATTCCCTGGCAACAGTAGAATCATCCAGCTTAGGAAAAGAAAAGACCAACAAGTCTGAAGAGATGATGCCATTAGGAATAGGTGCTATTCCCCATTTACAGCTTTACTAATTAGCAGGCCCTAAAGGCTACCCTAAGGCCATCAGCGGAACCAGGCATGGATGAGGACTTTGTCAAAATCTTGACCCCTTTTAGGCTGCTCCCCTAAGGAAAACACTCTTATTCATCCATCTTGAGCACAGGAAGGAAGAAGTCTTCGGAGTTGACCAGCCACTTACTCTTAAACAAATAATTAATGGAGAGTATACTTTCACAGGTGGCCAGGAGGACACACACATGGCCCGACCTAAGGTGGGCTGGGCTGTTTACAAGATGATCACACCAGTTCCAGAAGTTCTGCCATGATGGTAGGGGTTAAAAGGAGACATGCAAGAAAGTGTGCTGATCACCAGGCTCAAATTGAAATCTAGGTACAAAGTCCCAATATGACACTGGCTTCTCTCCTTGCTGCTCTGGTGGGGTAAGAGGGTGAGGCTTTAGAGAGCCCACAGTGAACTTGAAAACCTGGTTACTGCTTAAATGTGAGGTGCCAGATGGTTAAAAGGGAGCTAAAGAAAACTGGCCAGTGGTGCAGTTCCACAACCAAGATACCTGAGGACAGAAGGCAGCAAGCTCCTCTTCGCTGTCGCTGTGGTTGTCCATTGCACGTTCTGGGTGTAGGGCTCTGCGGCGCACTATGTGGAAAGAGCAGAAGGCCTTGATGCCTTCCCTTAAGGGAACTCCCCACCCGCTTTGGACTTCAAAGGCATAAGATCAGAACATAAGAGACCGAACCCCTCTGAATATGGCCCTAAGCCTACATAACAATGCCTGAGGCAGGGTTGCTGAGCCTAAGTGGCAAGGTAAGCTGGTAACACAGGAGAGAAAAATTTCTTCCAACATCCCTCCCTCCACCAGCCCCCCAACATTTTTTTTCTGGTCATATGATCAACTACCAGGCTTGTCAACAACTCCCAGGATCAGCTAGGGGCAGACCGGATGTCAATGTGGAAAGTGGACACTATCAAAGAGAGGGCAAAGGGAGATGGCCCCACCTTGGTTAAATCAGACTCTTAAGGACTGATACTATTCAACCGGCTGCCCCAGGGGAGGCTGGGCCTTAGTGACAAATGCAGGACTCTTTGCAGGCCATGGCTTAAGCAAACACCCAACCCAATCAGACCACAGAAGAGAGGAAAAAGTTCCCACGAGTGTTATTCGTGTGTTGGAGGATCTCGGGCTAGTAAGCATCTGGCTTCTGAGGCAGCGGTTTTGAATTCCCTTTGGAAGGCAGCTTTCAGTAGAGAAAGACGTCTGGCTTAACAGTCTAAAAGACCTGCTCTGTCACTTACTGGCTGTGAGCTTCAATTTCCTC